GCGCCGGGGTCAGAGGGCAGAGAGCGCGCGGGCTGGGCGCGGATTCCCTGCCGTGCGCTGCCCCCTCGTGGCCACTTCAAGGTCGCGACGGCGGCCCAGGCGGCGAGGTGTAAAGCATCCTTTGGGCCTAGGACTAGGGTGCTTGGGGGACGGGGACACGACGGATGCAGGCTAAGAGCGTGCCCGTTTGGCCTTCTATTTAGTCTTCTATACAGCCCTGTGAAACAGTCATTTTTAACTTCATTTTACGCAATCATGTGAAGTTGACCTTTGAGAATGGACTTAAATTTTCCCAAGTCAAAACCTGATGCATGGAGACACACACCAGAGAGCAGAAGCCATCTGTGAGCTGGGCACTATCTTCCAAGCTAGTGCAGTGCCCAGATCCCAGAGGTGCACATAGAGGTGAATGCTGGTGAATGACTGAAACACCATTTCCCTCTCACGGCCACTGGGGATCTGGGGGCAGATCTCAGTACCTCCATACTACACATCCTGAGCTATCTGACTGCAGGTCCCAGGCAGGATTCCTCCTGAGGGCAGCAGGCAGCTGACCCAACTGGTGTCCTGTCCCTCAACAGTGCAGGGCTGCAAGCTCGAAGCACACAGGTGAAAAACTACTGAGTGCCCCTAAGCCTGGAGGAAAAATGTGTGGCCTAGGACACAGATGTCCACAGAGCAGCCTTTGCTCTCCAATGTCTGCTCGGAAACAGCCAAGAGGAAATGTGAAAGGGCCAGCCAGAGTGCTCGTCCAAGAACAAGGGACCAGCAGAGCCAGACTAGGAAGGTCAAGGCCCAGGGTATCTTACTCTTCCTTCCTTGGGTGATGACTGACACCTTCACTTCCGGCACTGGTACCTGTGCTTCTGCCCATGTGGCAGGAACTGGGACAAAGTTCCACAAGCATTACTCTCACACGTCAGCTACTCCAGAGGCTCCTCCAATGCTTTCACAGGCTTGAAGTGTAAACACAGTGTTTCTAGGGGACCAAAAGTTGCTCTGGATCAGTGTGCACTGTTTTGGACCCATGGTCACCATGGATCAGTGTGCACTGGTTTGGACCCATGGTCACCATGGATCAGTGTGCACTGGGCACAGGAGTAGTCATGTGAAACCTGGTAGCACCCTCAGGAGTCACCCAAAAAGGAGAACAAGTGCCCTGTCAGACAGGCCTGACAGCAGCTGCCCTTCAGGAGCCCAGAACCACATCTCTGCCTCTGCCTGATAACCCAGGCAGGCTGAGCAAATGCTGGGCCCCAGAACCATAGCCCACTCTGCCCTACTTCCTTGCCTCCCTTGTAATCCTGCTGCAACCCACCCTCCACCCTGCACCCAGGCTGCACACCCAGGTACACACAGAGGCTGGCAGGGCTCTGACTTAGTGCAGCAGCCTGGCTGAGGCCACAGGGAGATAGCAGTGAGCTGGCTGCCAGTGAGCCAGGGTCACTGCATCTTCCTGCCAGTTAGGGTTTATATCTGGATGCCTCCTTCCCCAAGCTTCACGCACTCATAGTGGGGCCTTGGGAAGCTGACTAAGTCGTGGGGGCTTATAGCTGACTTTCTGTTTAGAGGTAGGACCTGGTCAGAAGAGGGTGGCAGGATTCACTGGGGATGTGGCTCGGTAGGTTTTATCTCCTTCCCTGGCTCCTCTCTTTGTCCTCTGCTTCCTGGCAATCATGTCTAGCAGCTCTCCTCCACCATGCCCTCTGCCATGCCATCCTGCCTCGGAGCGAGTGGACCATGGCACAAAACATAAGTCAAAATAAGCCTCTCCTTTAAATTTTTTGTCAGGTGTTGTGTCCCAGCAAGGAGGGACATAGCTAAGACACTGCCTTTTAGGAGAGTTGGGGGCCCTGCTTTTCATGGGAGTTCTCCTGGTGCTTAGTAGTTAGCAACCAGTTCATTTGTCCAGAAAACAACGTATTAGCTAAACAAAGTGAATGTGAGGCTAGATTGGCCACATGTTTGAAATTTCTGACTGAAACAGCCAAGTGTAAGGGGACATAGGGGTGAACTCCATCCTGGAGGTATTGCAGGTGCAGTGTTTGTCACTGTGTTAGGCTGCACATGTTCAGTGAGCCAGTGACACAGTAAGCAGTGTGGGACCCAGCTCAGCAGTCAGGGATGGGAAAGAGCTGGGGATTCAGTTAGCCACAAGAATAAATGAGCAAGCAGATTCCTCACATGTGGGCTCCCTGAAATACAATGTGCCCTTAGATACCTTCCTGGAAGCTCGTGACTGGGATCTGAACAGACATAATCCCATTGTACCTTTGGCTCCTTAGACTTCAGTTGCAAAGTTACTTCCAATGCTGGGCACCAAAACTGAAGACAGAGTAGTGAGGCATTGGGAGGACTCGTCCATGAAATTAGGATGGAGGAGCAGAGCATGTCCACTCAAAGAAAACTCAAAGGGAGCAGCACGTGACAGCCATGGGTCAGGGTTTTGGCAGCCACAGTATTTGAACTCCTAGGGGATGTGATATGGAGCTCAGCCCCACCAGACATTCTCTGAGCAAGGAGAGAGGAGGCACATGACCTGTGGGGATCCAGCCACCATGTTGGCAGCCATTGGTTCCTGCTGCCAGGGAACTGGGGGCAAAGCAGCCCTGGCATCTCAAGGAGAACAGACCATTCTCACCAGGCAGTCCAGGCATGGTCCAGTAGAGAGCCTGGCCTGTGGCTACCACCATTTTGGCCAAGCCTTATTGAGCCTATGGTTTCCCTATTTTTATTTAATTCGTACCTTTTTTGTTAAGTCCACCAGAATCAGTTTCTGTTATTTGAAACCCGAAACTTTAGCTGATAAATTATTGATTACCAGTGAGAGCACTATGGAAGACTTGGGAAAAAACAGCTGTCACCAAGATTAATAGACTGTGGGGGCTCATAGCTGGCTTGCGTTTAGGACCCTGATAACACAGAGGGAAAAGTGAGATGAACTGCAATCATGAGAGGCAGCCTTTGGCTAAGCAGAAAAGGGCAGCATTGGGAGGGAGGAGCCCCAGTCCCAGGACGAATGTAAGTAAGCATGAAGGTCTCTTCCTATTGCCGTCATAGTGGACGGGTAGCACCTTCTTCTGAGAACTCTTCCTGTTTATGGTCCTCATGGTACTCACAGGCTGCCAGTCCCAGCTCTGCACCTGTGTCCCCAGCAGACATCAGGGAGGCCCAGCTAGCCGATTAGAGTAGCTCACCCCGGAGGTGGCCAGATCAGGGACAGGAACAAGGCTGAGCACCCATCAGCATCTGTTGTGAGACTCAGGTCTAGGTGCAGATACTGGATTCAGGGGCTTCAATGAGCATCTGACTTGCCTGTGAAGAAGGATTGCTGGAGGTGGTGCCCACACTGTGGCAGGCACTATCCTGGCCAAGAATCAGCAGGGAGGGGTCAAGCACCATCTCCAGGAGGTTTGGAAAACTGCTCCCGTGATTGGCAAAAGATACTGGAGATCTTCCTAGGGAGGAGGTGCTGAAGCCTTGGGCTGGGCAGAAGGAAGGCAAGTGCTAGGCTAGAAAAGGGAGGCTGGCTGGGGACAGGCAGGACCAGTGGAGAGAACAAGCCAATGGTACATGGTCCTCATATGTGGACACAGGGCCTCCTCCAGGCCCTGTGCTTGCTGTGTTTGAGGAAGGCTTCCCTGGGTACCCTGAACATAGTCCCTGGGAGCCAGAAGAATTCTGATGGGCGACACAGGACTCTGGAGCTGACAGGTTGAAAAATAGCACAGGACAACAGTGCAAATGTACCTAATGTCACCAACCTGCACATTTAGGTGAATTTTATGTTATGTGGTATTTTACCACAACTTTTCAAAAAAAAACTATATAATAACAGCAGTAGGAAGTTGGGTGCTAAGGAGCTGGTATCAGCTAAGTGCATGGGAATTCATTCAACAATCATTAAGTTGAGCACCACTGTATACCAACAAGGTTCTAGCTCTTCCTGGCAATATTGGTGTACTAGAGGAGCAGACAGGAGCCAGTGGGCTTGAAGGAGACCTGGCTGTAGGGCAAGTGTAGCTGGTCCCACACTCCAACAATCCCAATCCCAGTGAAGCAGGAGGCTGAAGC